TTCCGATTGCATGCCCATATGTAGAGATAGCCTGTGTTGTGTTCCTAAAGAGACATCCCTGAATAACTTCTTTAGAAGCCCCAAATAAATAAACAAACAGATCGCAAAGCCACAAATTCTTTACCACTGGCATTTACCCGGACAGCTCATGAGAGCATTTTAAAAATCCAGAAAGAAACAAGGAGCAGCAGATCCCTCAAGCAAGTAATTGACAGAGAAAGAATAGCCTGTCACCCGGGAGAGCTGGAAGCCCTGCGTTTCAGTTACAGTTTGTTTAGCTTTACTGGGCCTTGATTGGCTGGCAGTTTTCTAGAGCTCCCTTTGAGCAGATGTTGTCTAGACGGAGATGGTGAGGACATACTCTGTAATGTTTGCTTCAGCAGCAGAGGGGTTTCTTCTTGGTTTTGCCATATTTGAGGGAGTGGCTATGATCCAGCGCCCTTGATTGAAAACTGCTCTGGACTGTCGGAGCTGGAAGGAATCTTAGCACTGATCTGATCCCCCGCGCTCTTTACAGAGAAGCAGCCTGCCTTGCCCCTCTTCAGGAATCCTTCCCCGGTGCCACTCCGCACGTGACTTCTAGGATGGCCCTCACCACCTTCCTCACCAGACAGGGAGCCCTGAGGCCAGAGCCTTTGTCCATCCATCTTTGTGTCCTACGCAGCTCACACAGTGCCTGGCTGGACCAGGTGCTGATAAATGTTTGATGAACCACAAAGAGATAAGACCCAAACCTCGCTGACCAGACTCCAGTAGCACGGGTCCTGCTTCCCCATTCCCACCTCCTCGCCTTTGTGAGCACCCCAATATTGATCATAAAGGAATGAACCGCTTCTGATGGTTTGGCATCTGGAGTTTATTAGGTACTTACTGATACCCGTCAGTCGTGGATAGGGCTGAAGTGCAGGGAAATGGCTGCCTGCATGGAGTGAAATTCAATAAAACCGCATTTTAAGTGAAAAATCAGTATAAACACCAGGCTTCTTTGCCATGGAAACAGAGGTTGCTTAGAAACTGCCTAACAGCGAGTTCTAAATTTTTTAAAGTCAAGTTATCATTTGAGCTACATGGCCCTACAGGTTATTGAGAGATAATCACTCGCCTCAGGACACTTGGAGGCATGAGGCACAGCTGAGTGCCTCCCGATACTCTGGGGACCAGATAATCTCTTGATAACTGTGCTCCCTGGAGCCAGTGATTTGGGCCTGGGGGGAGGAGAAAGAAATTTTCGTTCAGGAGTTAAATGGTGTACATATATTTTTTTTAAAGTGTTTCTCTTTGGGCTTGAAAAAAGATGGAACTGGCCATTTGGCATGTTCAACAGCCATCTCTGCCGTGTCTCAAGATGTATTGGGAACATTTTCCAAGGCAGTTACCCCACTTACTTCAAAGCAGAGGTCCTGTCTTTGTCTTCTGGCTTTGGATTATGCAAAGAAGGCTTTCAACAGATCTAATAAGCTTCCAGCTCTTCACTCTCTGGGGGTCCCTCTTCCCCGCTCAGGCTGGGCAGGAACTGGCCCCAGGACAAAGTAGTAGCAGAGTTTGGAACAAAGCCTGGTTGCTGAACGTTCAGACCAGACCTCCTGGGCCCCAGGCTCGGCTCCTGGGGGCTTAAAACCAACAAGGGGCCAGGTTCAGAATTTGTCAGTGTTTAGAGTTCAGTGGGCCTCTTGCCTCTCACCGAGCAAGCGCACAGCTCCGCCTGCCAGCCATCTGGTTGCATGGCATGGTATTTGGTCCCCACTTCAGGCATGCGGAGACCAAGGTACATTGCATTCGTTTCCTCCTGAAAATAATGGGTGAAATTAGAACCCCATTGGCTGAGAATTGGAACCCCCACCAAGTAGTGTGGAGGAAATTGTGAGTGAGATGAACGACAAATGTTTTGCCCTTTTTGGAGCGTCTGAGAATTATCCATGGCATGGCGGTGCTGCTAGGATCGGTAGTGATAATCATGCCTTAGATACACACACGCTCACATTCTCTCTCTGGAAGGAACCGTGTTTTCATTCTACACTTCAAAGTGTTTTCCTGCACCTCATCTCCTCAGAACAAACCTGTGAGGAGGATGGCCCGGGTGTGATCATCTTCCTTTGGAGAAAGCGGAAACAGGTTCACAAGGCAAAATAATTTGATCCAAGCCACAGAGGCGGGAGAACAAACTTGCATTGCTGCCTGCCATTCTGGGGCGTCTGCCCCTTTAAGAGCAAAGAAATGAGACCCAAAACAATCCTTCCAAGAGTTTGGCTCTTGCTTAATAAAAGAAGCTGAACTTTGCACACGTTTTTCCTTTGCTTCCCTGTTAGCATTTTATTTGGAGATCTTGCAGGGCAAAGAGGGTGACTCCTTTCCTTTTCCTTTCCTGCCAACCAATACAACTTCTGCATTTAGCATGTTAAGAAGGGCTCAGAAAATGAACACTGCAGCGTTTTCATGCCATGTAAGTCAGTGCACAGCTCTGACTGTGCTGGGCCGTGGCACCACTTTGCTGGGTGTTGCCCAGATAAAAGTATTCCTTGAAGCTGGGAGACCGCCATGCTGTAGCTCAAAATTGTTCCAGCTCTTGAAAGAGAAAAATAATCGAATGAAACCATTTGCATTCTAACAGTCTTTGGCACCAGGGAAAACTGTCAACTGTGTCACGTGTAAATAGAAATCTGCTTCCCATTTTTGGTGTGTTTTTTCATAATTTCCCTTGCCACTCTAATTATCAAAGATATTTTTGTTTTTAAACAAAAATTGTCTCCCACGCAGGCCCCATCTCCTTTCTGCGGTGAAGTGGAAACAACGAATTAGAATATTCTAATCACTTCTACAGCAACCACCATGGAGGTTATAAACACAAGATTATCCTAAGCAAAGAAAACTTAAATTGTTTAGGCACAGAACAGGCCAGGGAAAATTTCTAAGTGTCCCCTGCCTTCCCTCCCCACCGCCAGCCTGCCTGCCTTGCCTCCTTTGCACACGTCTGTTAAACCTAAGGAAGATAGCAATGCTGGCTTTACCCAGTTAGACCCAAATTCCCTGAGGGTATAGGTTTTTCAGATGAATGAAATTAAAAACCAAAATTGAGTTCAATTTAGCAAGCATTTAAGTTCCTATTTAATGTGCAACGGTGTACGAGAGGCTCCTAAGAATAATAGTGACGAATAAAATGTGATTCATCAAATAGATACTGTATACTGTTAGTTGGTAAGTAGGGATCAGATACATGCTAGACTCTGTATAGGGCTTGTTTTGTGTTTTAAACCTCGGCAAGGGGCCAGACACTGGCTCATGCTTGTAATCGCAGCACTTTGGGAGGTCCAGGCAGGAGGATTGCTTGAGACCAGGAGTTTGAGACCACCCTGGGCAGTGTGGCAAGACCCCATCTCTACAAATTTTTCTTTATAAAATTAACTGAGCACAGTGGCACACACCTGTAGTCCTAGCTACCTGGGAGGCTGAGGCAGGAGGATCAGTTAAGCCCAGGAGTCTGAGGGTGCAGTGAGCTGTGGTTGCGCCACTGCACTCCAGCCTGGGTGACAGCGCAAGACCTTGTCTCTTAAAAGAAAAATTAAAAAACCTCAAAATTCTGAGTGAAGTATCGCCTCCATTTTTAGAAATGGGGAAACTGAGAGAGGGACAAGTTGAATAATTTCCTGAAGCCACATAGCTAGTGATGTCTCTGTTAATTTGGATCCTGTTAGTATTCCTTGTTCTTTCCTTGGTGAGCAGTTAATCTCTCCTTCAGATCCTTTCATAGAATGTAAATATTCCAGAGAGGGGTGTCATCTTCAGTCATTAGTGTGTAACGTAGTAAGTTGCTCAGTCCCCATTAAAACGAGAACCTGTTCCCTCCACGAGCACGTACTGGATGCTCACTACGTGCCGTGCCAGGGCCCAGGTATGGCAGTGAACAGAGGGGTGCGGTCCCCGCCCCCAGGGAGCTTATATTGTGAGGAAGGGAGATGATCAATAACCAAGTAGTCGGCGACTGCTGGAAAAGGTATCCTGAAAGAGAAATAAGGGGCAGCCCACCTGGGCAAGGTGGCCTGGGGAGGCCTCTGAGTGGGCAGGTCGACTGGGAGGGCGCGGCCTGCTGGGGTTGGGAAGCCAGACTCCGAATCACCGCCGGGTTGTGAAGTTTACGCCTGGGCTGTCCAGTACAGGGGCCCCGGGCACGTGGTTGATCATTCAGAAACAGGGTTTGAGCAGATCAGAGGCAAGGGTTGTGACCCCAAAGTTCAGACCAAGATAAAAACCTCAGCCTTGGTGGGTGTGGTATTCAGTGGCCTGGGCCCCTGAGCCCTGTCTGTGTCATGTGTAGGACATCAGTGCTATATCTCTGCCAGAGGTCACAGGCAGGGCTCAGCCGGTCCTGCCCCAGCAGAGTAAGGGCGGCGTGTCCTGTCGGTTCCGATGCCCGGGGGTAAGCAGACTCCTCACGGGAGCCTCAAGTATGTGTCCAGACCACCAAGAATCCATGGCTTTCGGTGGCCAGAGAGTGTGTAACTGCTGAGTTCAGTGAACCAGGGGACCCATGATGAGGACCTGGAGACTCATGTCCAGGGTCCCCAAACAGGGCAGGGAGCCCTGTCCTGGTCCAGCCCCACCTGCTTTCCTCTGCTGCCCCCATCCCCACTCCACCCCAACCCCGGCTGGGCCTGGGAGCCTGTAAGGAGAGATGGGCCCTGTCATTTTTCTTCTTTCTGAAAACTGCTTTACACCCAGAGCGCAACCTGTTTCTTTGCCAAGAGCTTGTTTGCTATCAATATTGTTCTGCTCCGACCAATTGCTGTTTTTCTCTATGTCAATGGATACGCTGTTTACCTCTGTATCTGTTGGGCTTTGGTCCTGTCTTACGAACTAAAGTGGGTTTGTTCTGCTATTTGAAGTGATTTGATATTGTTATCAGTTTCCTCTCAAACAGCCCAGTAAACAGCCTCCTGGGTAGAGCTGAAACACTCCTCCCCTCTCCCCTCCTGGAACCTTCCACTCACTCCTTCCTCTCTCCACAGCGTCTTCCTCCACTTGATGAAGGTAGACCCGGACTCCACCTGGCTGCTCCTGAACGAGCTGTACTGCCCCATGCGCTTCACACCTCCCCACCCCAGCCTCCACCCCGTGCAGCTGCGCAGGGCCCCCGAGCAGCAGAACCCCTACTTGGCCAACGTGCTCCTGCTGCTCAGGGAGCTGCAGTGACCCCGCTCTGCCCTCTACAGAGGCCTCGCCCGTCCCCTGCCACCGGAGTTGGGCTGACCCAACCCGGGCCAGAGGCGGTGGCAACAGCAGAGAAGGTGGATTGGACAGCTGATCGATTTATAAATTGATCTATCACACAACTGCTTAGAAATTGGATTGAAGGAGAGTAGCTGACTGTTATTTATGTTTCATACCTTGTGTTTGCAAATGACTTTGGCGGCTCTAAGGGTTTAGCTCCTTAGCCCCCCATCTCTATGTCCCTCACTGCCTCCCAGGCCACCCCCACACCCCAGCACACGCACCCCTCCACACGTAAGAACTCACGGGGCAGAGTTCTGAACCACACACTGACTGTGTCCTCTGAGCCCCGAGGGCCACATTCAAGTATCACACATCCAAGAACCTTCAGGATACAGCCCTGCCGTCGCAGGCTCGCTCCCTCCCTCCCTCTCTCTCTCTCTCTCTCTCTCTCTCTCTCTCTCTCTCTCTCTCTCTCACACACACACACACACACACACACACACACACACACACACACACACACACACGTCGGTTCCCCTCCATCTGCACACAACACCCTCTCCTCCAATAATGAGATGGAACTAATTTGTTGTACCTAACCTGTTCTTTGGGAGAAAATGAAATAAAAGCACTCCTTGGATGAAAAGTATGATCAAGAGCTCACTTTGAAGTTTGTTATTTAAATTGGGTGATTTTTTTTTAATGAGTTTATGTTCATGAATGGGTACTACAGAACCATGGTATGAAATCCAAGCAGCACAGAACAGGAAACGGCAAAAAGTAAATCTCCTCCTCCCCATTTCTCAGCCATCTGGTTTCCCTCCCCAAAGGCAACCACTCATAACAATTTTGTGGATACCTTTTAAGTAGGAGATTAATTTTTTTAACTTGTTGCTGTGGCATAATGAAGCCCAGGTACCCATAACCCAGCTCCGCTGGTTGGCAGCACATGGCCAGGCTGTTCCTCGAGGTCCCTGCCCGTCTACCTCCCCTCTTCTGGATTATTTCAAAGCAAACCCTGGATATTGTATCAAAACTTTTTTTTAATGTATAAGCACAATACCATTTTCATGCCTAAAAAATTTAACAATAATTGTTTAATATTGTCAAATAGTGTCTAAATTTCCCCGGTGTGTTTGAGTAAGGATCCAAGTAAACTATGTCCTTTTCTGGTATTGATATGTTCCTTAATAAATCTTAATTTATAGATTTCCCCCCACCACCAACAACCTTTCTTTTGTTTTCCTTATAAGCTTTTTGGTGAGGAAATAAGGTCATTGATCCTACATCGTTTCCCACCGTCTGAATTTACTGACTGCATCCCTGTAGGGGTCATTTCACTGGCTTCTCTCACCTGTATTTCCTCTAAATTGGGAGGCAGAGTAAGAGTTTTGGGGTTTTTTTTGGTTTTGTTTGGTTTTGTTTTTTAGCAGTACTCCTCCCTAGGTGGTATTCTTGACTTCCATCGGGAGGCATCTAACGTCTGGTCTCTTACTGTGGTGGTAGCAGCCACGGTGGTCTTGCCTGGAGCCACTCGTTCATTAGGGGTTGCAAAGTCCTGCCCTTCTAATTCCACCATGCTCGCTTTTAGCCAGCGCATTTGTGTAAAGAGAACCTTCCCTTAGTGAACCGTTTGGTAACCTGGTGGTATAATTTATATAGACAAGGCTGGATAAATACTTGATGCTTTTCTAGCTGAGAAATTTAAAACACAGATTATGTAGATTTAGGTATGCAGTGCCCCCCCACAACACACACACGGGCGGAAGGATCCCAGGAATGGTGAAGGCCTCACCAGAGGTATGGGGGGTGCCAGCTAAGTAACTTCCAGCGACATGGGTCCTCCCCAGACTAAAAGCCCGCAGGGCGGTTGGCCGGGGGCAGACTGGCGAAAAGGCCCCAGCCAGCTGCACAGAGGCCCCGCTCGCTTCCTTTCAGCTGTGCCCGGCCAGGGCGGTGGAATGTCCCGCTCGGGTCTAGGTGGCAGCAGCCTGGCTCAGGTCTGGCTCTGCCAGCGAGTCTTCAGGGCCCCTCTTCTCTTCGGGCTTCAGTCCTCCAGCCTGTAAAGTGCAGGGATTCGGCCAGGCGGATTCTGGGCCCCTCAGACATCTAGTGAAATCTAAGGACCCACTCCCCAGAAACATGCTTCTGCTCCTTCCCTGTCGCCCCCAGGAGGGCGCCGCATCCCCAACTCTGCAGCCAGGCACTGAGTGGAGTTCATCCGCTGGGTCTGCGTAGCTGACCTCACAAAATTCTATGTACCATTTCAGAGGCTTCACCTATGACCCTGCAGGGACCCCAAGTTTAAGAACCTCTGAAAGAGCAATATAATCACTGAACTCTCTTCCGGCTTTAAAATTCTGGGATGATTTCCTTTGGGAGCAGGAGGGAAATGCCCTCTAATTGAGGAGATTGTAAAAGGATTCACAGCATTGTTCCTAATGCCACTGGGGACACTAAGTGATAGGCTAATTCAGGCTCCAGGTTCTGACAAACGAGAAAACAGGTCGGAGAGGTGGCGTGACTTGTCGAGCATTACTCAGCTGCTCCCGGTGAGATTAAAGCCGCCTGCCTTCCCAGCGCATCTGGGCGTGGCAGGCCTGGATGGTACTGAGAGGCCGGCTGGCCTGGGCACATGCACACACGTCCTGATAAAACTTGGGCTCTGGGAAAGCTCTCCAGGAGATGATCTGCGAGGATTTGCCATGCTGTTCCAAACCCACCATCAAAGAGTTAAGATATCCTGAGTTGCTTTTAGATTCCTGCAGGCAGATTGTTGCATTTGATTAAAAAAAAAAAAAAACTAATTAGAGCGCCTCTCCAGTTATTATTATATTCAAGCAACTTTAATTTTGAACCTGTCCAGCTAACTCAAGCTAGTCCTTGTTAACGCAGGCTTTGCAAAGTGATCCTTTCCGTCTTTTAAAATTTGCTGGTGCAATGAGCGTTCTTTCATTCAGGGTACACCGGCACCTCAGGTAAGTATTGGTTTGTCTGGTCTGGGATTAGGGGTAGGTAAGGATGAATAGGCAGATGCTGAAGGCCTAGAATGAAGGTTGAGATACTTGAGCTGTGATCTTCAGGCAATAAAAGGTTCCTGGACGATGCAGAAAAGTGTAGACCCGGATCCAGGGGATCCCGTGCAGTTGGCTGGAGAAGGGTTGGCTGTGGTCCTGGGAGGCAGCATGTCGTGGGAAGGACATGCATGATTTGGAGTTCATCAGAGCTGGGACTGATTTCTGACTCTACCTCTTAGTAAGCGTGTGAACTTGGACAAGTCACTTTGCTTCTCTGCTCCATTTTCCCATCTCTGAAATGGAGCTGTTGCCTCTGCCTGTTCAGGCAGCTGCATCAGGAGGAATAAATGCTGTAGAGTTTTTTAAAGCATCTAGCACAGTGCCTGGGGCTCCAGCAACTCCTTTCCCTCCCGTCTTTCGACCCATTACCCGTGGCTTGGTAGGAAGTGCATACTGTTATGCAGTACATGCTCAGTTATAGCTGAGGAAATTTATGCTTAAATCTGAACATGAACCACTCAGAAACTAAAGGGGACCACAGTAGGGAGAGAGAATCAAAGAAGGCTTCCAGGAGGAGGTGAGGTCCTGTTGGATAAGTAGACTTTTGACAGCCAGAGAAGACAGAGGGCATTCCAAGTGGAAAACAACATCCCCAGAGGCATCCAGGCATACCTGCCCATGTCTGCACTCATCATAACTCTTTCAGTTGGAAGTGACAGGAGACCCAACTCAGACTGGCTTGAGCAGAAAGAAATGTCTTAGGTTGAAGTGCACGGATTCCAAAAAAGAGAGAGAAAGAAGGAAGGAAAGAAAACAAAGAAATGTCTTGGCATACAGAACCGAAAGACCCAGCTGGCTCCAGATCCCCCAGCGTGTGTGTCTTTTGTTTCTGCTTTCCCTAGTGGTAGCTTCGTTCTCCAGCAGCCTCTCGCTATAAAGTGTCAGAGATGGCCACTGGTGGTTCCGCGATTCTGTCCTTCCAGTGTAGCACACCTAGGCCACTGTGTGCCTCCTGACAGCTCCAGCTGAAGTAAGATTTGCTCTTTGCTCAGCCGCTCCTTCGCCCAGCCCCAAACCAAGCATTGTCCATCTATAACCGATGCTGGCCAGGGGCCGTTTTTTTGTTGTTTTTTTTTTGCCTTTGATCTTTTGTTTGCCAGCTCTTGATCTACAGCATTCTCATGGGCAGGCCTGGAAATAGGGGTCAGGTCAGCTCCCCCAAACCATATGGAGAAAGAGTTGGGGTGGAAGGGTTTCCCCTAAAAGGAAGGTGTACTTGGTTACCAGGAAAAGAGATGCCAGATTGGGAAGGGGCAAAAATGACAGGCATTCACCCCCATATTTGTGGCCTGTGACAGGTGTGGCCTGGCAGTCTGGGCGGGTGCACGTTAGGAGGCTGGGGGAGCTGAGGCCACATTTATGGAGGGTCTTGAATGTCAATCTGAGCATCCCAGCCTTAAGGGATCAAGAAGTGGCCCGGGGAGGTTCTGGAGCAGGTGAGTAATGTATTGAAAGCAGCATTTCAGGAATATTCATCTCGTGGCGGCGGGCAGGAGAAATTGGAAGCGAGAGAGACTGGCAGTGAAATTGTGTTTCTGAAAGTCCCAGGACGAGAAAATGTACCTCTTCCATCAACCCCAAACTGTTTGACGTGCCGTGGTTCATGGGCACCTTGAGGCACATAAATATGTGCTTTAAAGTTTAAAAGTAAAAAGTGAGATGAATGGGACCTCTGATGAGGCTTCCTCCGGCTCGTTCCAGAGCGTTGAGGAGCCCGCGCAATGATTTTCCGCAGCCCCGGTCCCTCTCCCTTCGTGTGGCTTACCCCAGTTCTCTGCGTCTGCCTTGATTGGGAGCCAAGTGCCCGTGTTGCCTTTCCTCCAGAGCAAGGAATAGAGGCCAAGTTTCAGAAAATAATTCTGAGTGATGGTGGACTCTGCGGAAGCGTTGATTGCTTTATAAATGGCCTTCTTCCCTCTGCACCCCAGCCCCACCCTTCGCCACTGAAGTTTGGAGGCAGCGGCTTTTCAAATTACGCTTGAAAAGCAGCCTGATTTCCCACAGGAATCATCTCCTCGATTAGGAGCTGTTCTACCTTTTCTGACAGTTTTACCCGGAGTACAAAGCCTGTCTGCAAAGGACAAGGAGGGAGCGGTGCCCTCCTCACTTCAAAGCTTTTGGCACCACCGTTTATGAAAACCTCTCTCACTGCAGCCGCCTGCTTTTGCAGCAGGAAGGGGTTAAAAA